CTGGCCCGGCGGGGGCCTGGCTTCTCCTGGGGGACCCGGCCAAGCGGCCGCAGAGTCACCGAGCGGGCCGGGGGCACTGCGCTTGGCGGGCGTGCTGGGGGCCTGGGCAGCCTGCCCGTTCTCCTCGTCTGAAAAAAGTTGTTTAATTACGTCAAAGAAGTTACTCAATGGGCTGCCTGGGTACACAGAACAGAAGACAAAAATAAAAAAAAGGAGAGAGAGACAGAGAAAGAGGCAGGGAGGGAAGGAGAGAGAGAACACATCCATGAACAGGGGCCTCGGGTAGCAGGAGGACCAGAGAGTGGGGTGAGCGGGTGGGCGCAGGCGGGGCCCCGATGCCGGGCAGGGCGGCAGAAGGCTGGGGTCCCCTGAGCCTCTGAGCTGGCCTAACCCCTCACTGGTGGGTCCGCCACAGCCCCGGCTGCCCCTCAGCCAGGCAACCTAACTGACCCAGGGTGTCCAGACCCTGGCCAGCTACCAGCCCCAGGGCAGAGGGGACCCGCCTCAGCCACAGGCAGGCTAGGAAGTGGCCGCCAGCCCCTCCCCCTCCCCGGCCCTGCAGGCAGCTCAGACAGGTCAGTGGGACAGACAGATGGCAGATGGGTGAGCAGGCATGGAGGCGGGCAGGCGAGGCAGCGGGGCCCTGGTCCCTTAGGCGGGGGGGGGGACAACTGGGTGGGACAGCCAGTGCCCTGCTCACTGTCAGGTTGGCCAACAGGCAGCCCCTCGGCTCCACTTCTTCCCTGACCCCTGACCTCCACAGGCACTCTCCCTGCCCAGTGAGCGGGCAGCGGCACCCCCAAGGGGCACAGCCAGGCCCTCGGGTGTGGGGACCCCTCCTCTCTGAGGCTGCATGGCCCCCAGGCTTGTGAGCATGTGCATTGCCCCAGCGTCCAGCCCCACAGGGGGGCCGGGGGGCCAGGCCCTAGGCCCTCGGGTGGCACTGGAGGCTGGGTCCTGGGTGCGTGGGGTGGGCAGGTGCGGTGGTGAGCATGGGGGTCTTACCACACTTGGAAAGCCTCCCCGTCAGCATCTGCATACAGTGCGTGCTGTCTGGCCGCAGTGGAGAGAGGAAGGCACAGTGTGAGAGGGGCCACCTCCAGACAGGCCAGCCACACAGCGGGGCTTGGCCCACTTCCCCTCGGGCCTGTCCTCGGTCCAGGACAAGGCTGAGCCGGGGTCTGCTCTGGCCGGGTCCACACTGACGCTCCCTACACTCCTGGCTCAGAGCACTGGGACTGGCCGGGCAGCCCAGTCCAGGGGACAGGAGAGGTGCAGGGTACCCTGACTGTGAACTGCTCTCTTCTTCTTGGGGCTGCTCAGCCTTGCCTTGCTGAAGGGGGTGGGGCTGGGGGTATTATCCAGGAGGCCCCAGAACCCCTAGAGGACTGGTGGGGTGTGCAGGGGCGGTGCTGGCTAGGACTTACATTCCTGGACTTGCCAGGGAAGGACACAGGCTACAGGCCAGATAATCCCCAAGTCTTCTGGGGCAAGGGCTGAGGTTAAGCCAGGCTGAGGGTGTCCCCTGCTTTGGAAAAGGTCTGAGGTGGTACCCTGGGGATGGTTGGTTGCTGTGGGACCCAGGACTGGGGCTAGGAGGACTTCCTAACAGATAGTCAGGTGGACCCCACATGGAATGGGGCTGGGAGTGAGGCCACAGCTGGCCTGAAGCAGGATGCCAGTGTGCACTGAGGGCCTGGTGCCTCCTGGGTTGACAGACCCCAGCCCCAGGTCTCCCTGGAAAAGCCCATCCCTGACTTGCCTCAGCTGAGTAAGGCTGTCAGGCCCTTCAAGGGGCCAACAGGGGCCTGAGCTGGCAAAGAGACTGCCAAGGACCAGAGAGTAGGGTCCCTGCCCGGGACAGTACCCATGACACCAGGGCAGAGCAGCCGTGTGATTCCTCATTGGGAACGTCCCCTATCCTGGGGTGTGCGCCCTACCTCATTGCACCTGCGTGCACACCTGAGTGTACCTGAGAGCACTGCTGTGTATACTGGACAGCACACCGGAGTGTATATGAGTACACAACCGCGTGTACCCAAGAGCACATTCGTGTGTACCTGAGAGCACTCCTGAGTGAACGTGAGCACTCCTGTGTATACCTGCGACACTCCTGTGTGTACCTGAGACACTCGTGCGTTAGATAGCAGTCCTGTGTATACTTGAGACATTCCTGTGTGTACCTGAGACACACTTGAGAACATTCCTGTGTATATGAGACACTTATGTGTTCCAGAGTGCACTCCTGTGTGTACCCGACACTGCTGTGTGTACATGAGACACCTGTGTGTACCTGAGAGCACACCTGCATGTACCTGAGACACCTGTGTGTACCTGAGACTCCTGTGTGTACCTGAGACACCTGTGTGTACCTGAGAGCACACCTGTGTGTACCTGAGACACCTGTATATACCTGAGAGCACACCTGCGTGTACCTGAGACCTGAGTGTGCCTGAGACTCCTCTGTGTACCTGAGACACCTGTGTATACCTGAGAGCACACCTGCATGTACCTGAGACACCTGTGTGTCCCTGAGAGCACACCTGCATGTACCTGAGACACCTGTGTGTACCTGAGAGCACACCTGCATGTACCTGAGGCACTCCTGCGTGCACCTGACACAACTGAGTGTACTCAAGTGCACTCGTGTGTACCTGAGACACTCCTTCATGTACCTGAGTGCACTCCTGTGTACACCTAAGAACACCCCGAGTATGCCTGAGCACACCGCAGCATGTATCTCAGAGCACATCTGAGCTCACTCTGCCCTGCTCCCCGTTACCAGCCTCTTCCCCAGCCTTGCCCGCCAGTGGGGTGATGAGAAGGAGGTGTGGTTGGGTGACACACATGATGGAATGGGCGTGAGTGGAAGCACGGGTGGACAGGCTGGGACCCATTCAGGCCCCAGGACCCCACACAGCAGTACCATGGGGCCAACCAGCTGCCTCTTGGGACCTGGGCAGCAGGCTCCTACCCTGAACCTTGATTCCATGCTTTGTCCCTGCGCCCACGACCGCATCCATGTGGAGGGGCAGACACCTGTCCTCATCCTTTCCTCTTAGGCCTCCTGAGAGGTGTCATGCACACATGGCCCTCAGGCCCCTCCACACATGTCCACATCCCTCCCCTGATACCATCAGGAGTGCTGGGCTCCTGGCATAGGCCTCCCCCAGCCTGGGTCAACAGTCGTTTCCCCTACATGTCCCTGTGGTCTGCCTGAGACGGGTCCAACATTAGGCCGCCGCAGCCAGTGCGGACACTGGTCCACCGCTCCTGGGCAACCCCCGACTGCTCTGCTCACCGGAAGCCCACTCTCAAGACTTGGACTGGGCTGCACTAGGGATGCGCAGTGGCCGCGGCTCAGCCTTGTGGAGCTGTAGCCAGCGTGGACGTGGCACCAGGCACAGGGCACCTCTTGGGCCGGAGCCCTGCCCACAGCCCCTCCCCGCCCGGCGGCAGGGCCGGAACCTTACCTGCCAGCATCAGAGGCTACTCTCGTAGCTGGTGGCCACCTTCTGGCCCTTAAGCACAGCGCCCCAGCTCAGTCCTGGCGCTGGCGGGGGCGTCTCTACAGTGGACAAGAGGCTCCTCTCAGTCCCGAGCAGCTGAGCCTCATGCCCCCGGGTGTGCGAGGGCCACCAGGCCTGGGGCAGCCGTGCAGGGCCTGGGGCCCATGCCCCCCGAGCTGGCCACGCCGGCCACAGTGATGCCATGCCGCCCCCACTCACCTGACAATTGCTGGACAGACGGCTGGTCATGTGTGCTTAGGAGCTGGGCCTGGATGGTCTCCACCACCCTTTTGAAGCGCCGGCTGGGGCCTAGGGGCAGAGGGGGGTCACGCTTTGCAGGCCGCCTGGGCCCCCAGCTGCCCGGGGCTTCTGGCTGTGGCTCAGCTCACCTGACAAGAGCGTGAAAGTCACCGAGTAGATGCCGTTCTCCTTCTGCGCCTCGCCGCCCTCTGTGTAGGTGACGTCCACCTGGAACTTGACTGGCTTCTGGAACACGGCGGGGCCCCCTGTAGACTTGTACTCGGCTCGGAAGCTGGTCTGGGAAATGACGCTGTGGCTGAGGCTGGGAATCTGGGGTGGGGGACAGGAGGCAGTGTAAGAGGTGCTGGAGGTCCCCAGGAAAGCCAACTCGGTTGTGCAAAACCATCTCAAGCCCACCCGCCTGCGCCCAGCGCCCCACTTCCTGCAGGGCATCTGCTTTAAGGTTCTCTCCATAAGGGCCCGGGCGGTCATTAGGTTACAAAGAAAATGGAAGCAGACTCCCGGGTGCGCCTGATACAGGCCATGGTCTTCGCAATCACTTGTTTTGCATCAGAGAGTTGGACAATGACCAGGGAGGATAGAAGAATTGATGCCTTTGAGCTGTGGTGCTGGAGAAGAGTATTGAATGTACCATGGACTGCCCAAAGAGAGTGGCTGCAGACCCCAGAGCCCAAGACCAGGCTGGCAGGTGCTCTGGGTGAGGGAGACCATGGCCAGTCACCTCACTGCTGTCTCAGTTGACAACAGGGCGTCTCTCAGCTGCTCGAGCAGGCCTCGTGGGCCTGGCGTGACGGGTTATGGGAAAGCAGCACCGCAGGGCTTCCCCACGGGTGGTGGCCGCCAGCCCCCGGCCAGCACCATGCCTGGGAAGCCTTGTCTCTGATGCTGCAGCTAAGCAGAGAAGGCTCCAGGACAGGGGGTGTCCAGTGTGGGGGTCCTGATGCAAGGACACCCTGGAGCAAGGACAGTGTGTGGACACCAGGGGGGAAGCCCCGCTGGGGTCACTGTGTGCTGGGCACAGCCAAGTACAGGCTGTGTTGTAGACACTCGTGGCGTCTGCCTGGCTCTGCTGGCCCAGTCTCAGCAAGGCTCCACTCAGGGCACTGTGATGGGCGGCGTCTCCTCAGAGAGGCCTCCCTGAAGGGGAAGTGCAAGCCTGTGGGCTTAAGTGTGGGGGCAAGGAGTGCTGGAGGGCCCTGAGGGAGGGTCACGGACACCGGGGAGCCCGCCCACAGTCTAAGTACCAGCACCTCAGCAGCCAGGTTTTCCCAGGAGCTTCACTCCCCAGTGACTGCGGGGCCGCCCACAGGGAACTGCCGAGTAGGCACAGCCTCCCCAACACCCTGCTCGCACACAGCGCACTCCCACCCTAATCTAGAAACACCATCTCTACCCCCAGGGAGCTTTCTGACTCCCCTGTGCACCCTGAGCAAGTGAGTGAGCTGGGGGCCCTCCCAGGCCTGCCTCCTATGCCCTCTGCACCTTGGGTCAGGTCGGGCAGGGCTGCATGCCTGCTGAGTGAGAGGGTGAACGCACACCCAGATGTGTACGCCCCTGGTGCCCGAGCCCTAGCCCTGCCTGCTGGCATGGTGGACGCTCACCGAGAGGAAGGCGTGCACAATGTCTGCCTTGATGGAGCTCAGCGGCTTGTCTTTGATGACCACGAAGATCTGCTCCTCCTTCTCGAGGTTGATGAAGTTCCCGAACCATGACTTCTTAGCCAGCCTGGGGCATGCAGGGAGGGGCGGTCAGGCTGGGGGACCCCACGGCCCCACCCCTCCTGTGTCCCACAGCTGGGCCTGGACAGTGCCTGCAGAGCACAGAGGGGGTTCCCTGCCTCTCCTCTAAAGCTGCTGAGTTTGGGGCTGTTCCTCAGCCACGTGACGTGATGTGGCCACAGAATGCCCAGCAAGCTTGGACTCTACAGGACCAGTTAGCGTGGCCCCTCCCACGCCTGGGTCAAGGATGGCTCTGGTGGCCAGTTCCAGACCCATTCCCATCGTGGGTATGGCGCTGCCTGGTGCTTGCCCACCTGCACCCTTCAGACCCTGTTCAGGGTGTCCAGGCCAACCACAGGCCCAAGGACTTTGAGAAAACGGCTCAGCCTGGAACTGATGATTGGGTCAGCCCGTTCTCTATGGGGTCCAGAAGAGTGCACGCTGGCAGCCCCTCACTGCCCCCATGGGAAGTGGCCTGAGCACATGCTGACTCCTTCCAGACCGCAAGTCCTGCAGGCCCTCCTTGGCCACGCTGCTGGTCTGGTCATCTTGTCCAAACCATGGATACACCCTGGTGGAGCCCTACTGGCCTGAAGACACTGTTGCAGTCCACATTGTCTCCACCCACGTGTGACGTGTGGGGTAAGCCAGTCCAAGAGCATGAAGCAGGGCGAGAGCTGCTGGGCCTGGATGCAAAGTCTGGTGGGCAGACACCCGCAAGCACGTCATAGCAGTCAGGTCCTCCCTGGGGGCTGCATGAGGTGGACGTGCTGGGGTCTCGGAGCCCTGAGCCAGCCCACAGCTGTACCTGAGACCACACAGCTCGGCCAGCCTGCAGGGCAGCCCACTCTCTGCCCACGAGCTCCCACTGGGCAGAGCTCTCGGCAGTCACACTGCAGTCCACACGGCAGCAGGTGGCTGTATGACCAGTGCCTCTGGACTTCCCCTTGCAACTGGGAGATAGACACAGGCCCCATTGAAGATGTGCCTGTGGCCATCCCCTGGACCTGAGGGGCTTCTCCAGAGCCTGTGTTCTCTCTGCCTCCTGCTGCTGCCTGAGCAGGTTCCCCGCTGGTTCAGTGGCCAGCTGTCCTCAGATGAGGGTTCCTCTCACCAGCCTGCACTGACATGCCACCTCCTCCTGCACTGGCGTGTGATGCTCTGGGGACCAGACCTCGGCCCTCAGAGTGTCTCTGCTGGTGCATCTGAGGACCCTTACCCTGATGGGGGTGGGGATCGTGAGGGCCGATGAGGGAGGCTGTGTGGGGGTCCACAGGTCAAGCGGAGCATACATGGGGAGGCAGCAACCACAGAAACCATGCTGTGCCCTCAGCAGCCACAGTGTCTGAAAGGTGGTGGCCTTGGGCCACCCAGTGCTTGTGGACCGGTCCTCCCCAGGAGCAGGACTGGCCCTCACAGGCTCTTGGGAATCAGAAGGACACAGACTTACAGACGGCCCTCACTAGCCACCACCATTCAGAGCTTTAAAATAAAACCCTTTTCTGAAAAACGCAATAGCGGGTTTGTCATGACAGTTTTCACGAGCGCAGGAGATGGTGGTTCCGATTTCAGGAGCCCTGTGGTGCACTGGTTAAATGCTCCGTCAGCGGCTGGGAGCACAGGCCAGTCTGCACCTGTAACCAGCAGTCAAGAAGACCGTGGAAGGTTCTGGGGCTGACAGCACCGTGAGCTGTGGGGCAGCACTCAGCAGAGGGGTGCAGCAGGCGAGGGCTCATCTCCCACACAGGGCACCCTGTTCAAGCCCCAGCAGCACACCTCAGCTACAGCCATGCCCGCCTGACAGTGGAGGCTCCTGTGATGCTGACCAGGGGTCAGCCTGAGAAAGATGAGGCCGAAAGGCTGATCCTCCACATCTGAACAGCCCCACAGATCACCCATCCTGCCCATGTGGGGGTCACTTCACGAGCAGTCCTATGGACTCCTGGGGCCAAGATAGGACCAAAGAGTTCCCGGAACCAGACCTCCAATGGACCCTCCGAGTGGGCCCTGTATGCAAACCCCCCCAGGGCTGGGCCTTGTCCCAGGCTGCAGATGGACAGCGCCAGGTGCTGGATGGCCACAGAGAAGCTGCTTCCCTGACGACGAGGCTCCTCATTCCGAGGGTGGCCAGACCCACGCCCTCTGTGCAGGGTTTCCTCTGCGCCTCCGCTGCCCCTCCCCCAGCCATCCTCCCAGGTTTCACACATGACCAGCTGGTCCTTTGCCTTGTCTCAACGTCATATCTGGGGGTTCATGTCTGTCCTGTGTCAACACCTCACTTCTCTGATGGCCAACTGGAGAGATGTGTTACCTCTTCATTGTCCAGCCTCTCGCGTGGGCACTTAGATGCACTGGCCTCTGTTTTGTCCAGCCCCTGGGGGTGGGCACTTGGTCTGTGCCCACTTTTTCATCCAGCCACGGTGGATGCCCACCAGGGCTGTGTCCACCTTTACATCCAGCCTGTGAGTGGACATCC